TGTGTATGGTGTTAGAAAGTGTTCTAGTTTCATTCTTTTACAAGTGGTTGACCAGTTTTCCCAGCACCACTTGTTAAAGAGATTGTCTTTTCTCCATTGCATATTCTTGCCTCCATTGTCAAAGATAAGGTGTCCATAGGTTTGTGGATTTATCTCTGGGCTTTCTGTTTTGTTCCATTGATCTATATTTCTGTCTCTGTGCCAGTACCATACTGTTTTGATGACTGTAGCTTTGTAGTATAGTCTGAAGTCAGGCAGGTTGATTCCTCCAGTTAAGAACAGTTCTTAATTTTGAAGAAGTCTAGCATGATTTTTTTCTTTTTGTGATCATGATGTCTGCATTGTATCAAAGAAATATTTATCTAACCTAAGGTGACAACGATTTTCTCCTGTGTTGTCTTCTAGAAGTTTTACAGGTTTTACAGTTAAGTCTGTCGTTGATTTGAGTAAGTTGTTGCATATGGTATAAGATGAGGATCAACATTTACTTGTTTGTTTTGCATCCAAGTGCCCAGTTGATCAGCTCCCTGAGTGGTGTAGACTCTTCTTTCTCTGATGTCTTGCCTTGTACTTTTGTTGAAAACCAACTGACCATACGTATTCATTCTCCTGATAGCCCAACCCCTTTATCACTGAAATGATCTCCTTGGTAATAATCTTTACTCTGAAATCTACTTTATTAGGTATCTGGAATTTAGAGCATTCCCATTTTGTCTCGACTGGTATTAAATGTTAAATAACTTTTCCAATCTTTTGTTATTGTTGTTCAGTCCCTAAGTCATGTCCAACTCTTCGTGATCCCATAGACTGCAGCATGCCAGGCTTCCTTGTCCTTTGCCATCTCCCGGAATTTGCCCAGACTCATGTCCATTGAGTCAGTGATGCCATCCAACCATCCCATCCTCTGTTACCCTCTTCTCCTCTTGCCCTCAATCTTTCCAAGCATCAGAGTCTTTTCCAGTGAGTCAGCTCTTCGCATCAGGTGGCCAAAATATTGAAGCTTCAGCTTCAGCCTCAGTCCTTTCAATGAATATTCAGGGTCGATTTACTTTAGGATTGACTGATTTGATAATCACTGCTGTTCAAGGACTCCCAAATTTTTCTCTAGCACCACATTTCAAAAGCATCAATCCTTTGGTGTTCAGCCATCTTTGTGGTCCAACTCTCACATCCATACGTGACTACTAGGAAAACCACAGCTTTGACTGTTCAGACCTTTGTCAGCAAAGTGATGTCTCTGCTTTTTAATGTGCTGCCTAGGTTTGTCATGGCTTTTCTTCTAAGGAGCAATCGTCTTTTAATTTCATGGCCGCAGTCATTGTCCACAGTGACTTTTGGAGCCCAAGAAAAATAAAGTCTGTCGCTGTTTCCACTTTTTCCCCATCCATTTGCCATGAAGTGATGGGACCAGATGCCATGATCTTTGTTTTCTGAATGCTGAGTTTTAATCCAGCTTTTTCACTGTCCTCTTTCACCTTCATCAAGAAGCTCTTTAGTTCCTCTTGACTTTCTGCCATTAAAGTGGTGTTATCTGCATATATGAGGTTATTGATATTTCTCTCTGTGGTCTTGACTCCAGCTTGTGATTCATCCAGCCCAGCATTTTGCATGATGTACTCTGCATATAAGTTAAATAAACAAGGTGACAATATAGAGCCTTGACATACTCCTTTCCCAATTTGGAACCAGTCCATTGTTCCATGTCCAGTTCTAACTGTTGTTTCTTGTCCTGCATACAAGTTTTTCAGGAGACAAGTCAGGTGGTCTGGTATTTTCATCTCTTTAAGAATTTTCTGGTTGTTGTGATCTACACAGTCAAAGTATTTAGGGTAGTTAATGAACCAGAATATGAAGTCAAGTGGGCCTTAGGAAGCATCACCATGAACAAAGCTAGTGGAGGTGATCGTATTCCAGCTGAGCTATTTCAAATCCTGAAAGATGATGCTGTGAAAATGCTGCACTCAATATGCCAGCAAATTTGGAAAACTCAGCAGTGGCCACAGGACTGGAAAAGGCCAGTTTTCATTGCAATCCCAAAGAAAGTCAATGCCAAAGAATGCTCAAACTACTGCACAGTTTCACTCATCTCACACGCTAGTAAAGTAATGCTCAAAATTCTCCAAGCCAGACTTCAGCNTCATGGCATCCAGTCCCATTACTGCAGGGCAAATAGTTGGGGAAATAGTGGAAACAGTGGCAGACTTTATTTTGGGGGGCTCCAAAATCACTGCAGATGGTGACTGTAGCCATGAAATTTAAAGACGCTTACTCCTTGGAAGAAAAGCTATGACCAACCTAGATAGCTTATTAAAAAGCAGAGATTACTTTACTTTGCCAATACAAGTCTGTCTAGTCAAAGCTATGGTTTTTCCAGTAGTCATGCATGGATGTGAGAGTTGGACTATAAAGAAAGCTGAGCACTGAAGAATTGATACTTTTGAACTTCGGTGTTGGAGAAGACTCTTGAGAGTCCCTTGGACTGCAAGGAGATCCAACCAGTCTATCCTAAAGGAAATCAGTCCTGAATATTCATTGGAGGGACTGATTTTCAAGCTGAAACTCCAGTAGTTTGACCACCTGATGTGAAGAACTCATTTGAAAAAACCCTGATACTGGGAAAGATTGAAGGCAGGAGAAGGGGACGACAAAGGATGAAATGGTTGAATGGCATCACTGACTCGATGGACATGAGTTTGAGCAAGCTCCAGGAATTGGTGATAGACAGGGAGGCCTGGTGTGCAGCAGTCCATGGGGTCACAAAGAGTCGGACATGACTGAGCGACTGAACTGAACTGAAGTAGATGTTTCTGGAACTCTCTTGCTTTTTCTATGATCCAATGGATGTTGGCAATTTGATCTCTGGTTCCTCTGCCTTCTATAAATCTAGCTTGAACATCTGGAAGTTCTCAGTTCACGTACTGCTGAAGTCTAGTTTGAATGATTTTAAGCATAATCTTGCTAGCATGTGAAATTAGAGCAATTATACAGTAATATGAACATTCTTTGGCATTTTGGAATTGGGATGAAAACTGACCTTTTCCAGTCCTGTAGCCACTGCTGAGTTTTACAAATTTTTAGCCTTTTACTTTTACCCTGTGAAGTGTGAAATTTGCTCAGTCATGTCCGACTCTTTGAAACCCCATGAACTATACAATCCATGGAATTCTCTAGGCCAGAATACTGGAGTGGGTAGCCTTTTCCTTCTCTAAGGGATCTTCCCAGCCCAGAGATCAAACTCAGGTCTACTGCATTGCAGGCAAATTCTTTACCAGCTGAGTGACAAGGGAAGACCCTATCCAAGTCTTTGTTTTATTGAAAGTAGGGTTCTTTCTTGTAGACAGTGTGAGTTGGGGTTTTGCTTCCTGCTCAGTCAGATAACCTTTCCTTCTAATGAGGTTATTTAGACCAGGCATGTCTTTTGCTTAGGTATACACCCATAATCTTGTTATTTGTTTTGTTTGTTCCATCTGTTTTGTGATCCCTTTTCCCTCTCTGTCTTCAAAAGTTGAATTTTTAAAAAAATTTATTTTGTCACATCAGGGGAAATGGAAATTCATCTGAATTTCAGTTGAAGATATTAGTGGTCAGTGAGCAGAACCGTGAGTGTGATGTGTAAGAACAGGTATTAGTGATCAGCAAGCAGAACCGTGAGTGTGATGTGTAAGAACAGGTATTAGTGGTCAGCGAGCAGAACCGTGAGTGTGATGTGTAAGAACAGGTATTAGTCGTCAGAGAGCAGAACCGTGAGTGTGATGTGTGAGAACAGGTATTAGTGATCAGAGAACAGAACCGTGAGTGTGATGTGTAAGAACAGACAGTACTGCCTTTATTCTGTTTGACTCCACATACTTTCTGGCATCACCAACTCAACGGGCACGAGCTTGAACAAGCTCTGGGAGTTGGTGATGGACGGGGAAGCCTGGCCTGCTGCCATGGGGTCACAAAGAGTCGGACAGGACTGAGTGACTGAACTGAACTTTCTGGCATATTTTTCTCCAGTAGGTGGTGCTGCTGGTAAGGAACCTGCCTGCCTGCCAAGACAGGAAATGGAAGGGAAGCGGGTTCGATTCCGGGGTAGGGAGGATCCCCTACAGCAGGGCGTGGCAGCCCGCTCCAGTGTCTTGCCTGGAGAATAGCATGGACGGAGGGGCCTGGAGGGCGACCGTCCGCAGTGTCGCAACGAGTCAGACGCGACTGAGCGACTTAGCACAGCACGCACTCACGCACTTTTTGGCATATCTACTCCACTAGTACCACTGTTTCTGTGCTATATTAAACACCACCATCTCACCAAGCAATAAGGAAAAAACCTTGACAATTGGTAACATACCGTTATAGTGCTTCATTTTAAAATATATAATTGTTTAGTGTGAGCAAACTAAGTGTGAGTCATGCTAAGTAAGTAAAATTAAATATTTTTAAAATATGTACTTTTTATCTTTTAAAATTTTGATTATATTTTCATTTATAATACAAACAATATATTAGCACAGTGTGTAATTTCTGAAGGGGCATACATTTATTACATGTGCATCTATAAACTTATTTTACCAATAAAGAACTTTACAATCAAAATATTTTCATACTCCCTGGACTAGAGGACTTTGAGATCACCAAGAGTTAAGCTAAATATTTTTAAAAGGAGACACGGAGAAAAAGTCAACTGATGTCTCAAATTTAGTTGTTTGAGTCTTAGTCTCTTTGTGATGCTGTAACAAAATACTGTGGACTTAGGGGGCTTATGAACATCAGACGTTTATTTCCCACCAAGGCTGGGCACCCAAGAATAAGGTACCAGGTAATCTCTCCACCTAGATACAATGTCTGGCCATCTGACAAAAAAAAAAAAAAAAAAAAANATACGCAGTAATAGTAGGTAAGGACGAGTAATAGTGAATCCAGGTGCAGTTGTGATTTTGTTTTTTTATAGCAGCCTCTGCGCTGTAATGACGAACCACGCACGCTTTAGTTACATTTGCTGTTTTGGCTCCGCCTTCCAGATGTACCACAGGATCCGGCACTCGGAGTGCATCTACAGGGTCACCATGGAGAAGCTGTCCTACCACAGCATCTGCACCGCGGAGGAGTGGCAAGGCCTCATGCACTTCAGCCTGCCCGGCCGGCTGTGCAAAGAGATCGAGCTGTGAGCATCCTGCCCGTCGGCTTCCTCGGCCACAGTTCCCACCCAACTGGGCTGGGAGTGAAAGGGCTTCCAGAACTAGAGTCATAAATATTGCATTCCACCTGTGGTCCCTGGCCTTACCATTTCCCCCTTCAAAGCGAGAAAGGGCCGGCTCTCTTTATCTTTAGAAAAACTAGTCTGAGCACCATTTTGAAATGAGCCAACCTAAATGTTAGCTTTCCATGTTTACATACTTTATGAAATATTTGCTCTTCAAAATGGCATTTAATCTCAGATAACCGAAAGGTTTCATTTCCATATAGTTTTAAGTTTGCCAGTTAAATTTGAGACTTTAGTAATACATGGTTTATCATCCACGCTTCGCTTCTAATCCTACACTAATACATTTGTTACTGGTGGTGGGACTGCCCATCAAAAGCGTAAGCCAATGCTGTATGTTAATAACAACATAAAAAAATCTTAAAAAGTGATCCAGAGCTGACAGTTGTTTAAAATAAGACAAATTGTGTTGTTCATTAAATGAGGTAGTTAGATCGCTGTGCGTTTAACGCCCTGCCGGCCTAGTAAACAAATGGGAATCTAAGCCTGTAAATGCCTCAGTGTCACGAGATGGAAATGCTAAGAACACCAGTTCTGAACAGCCAGCTAGGATTTAGCTGGAGCCAATCAGGTGATTTCTTTTCTTGGCACCGTCTGTATAGGGGTGTTTCCATGACTTCTGTCAGCAAAGTACTCCTGACCACTTTAAGTTGGTGCTGCCCTCTTTAAATGGCTTTTTGCTCAAATAATATGCCAGAGTTTATCTTTTAACAGTGTATGTGTTACATAGTGTGCATATATATATAACCCCAGAGAGGCCGGAGCTGCACGGCCCGCCCCACTCCCTTGCCCTGGGCATCTCTTCCTCTTGGCCGTTCTCGAGTTGTGTCCCAAGGATAAGCCAGAAGTCTAGCTGAAGTGTTCCTCTGCGTTCTGGAGCTGTTCTAGCACATTATCTCCCCCATGGAGAGGCTTGTGGGAACGGCGGACAGATTAGAAGGGTAGGTGGCCTTGACTTGTGATGGGCGTATGAAGTGGAGGCAGTCTGTGGGCCCCAGCCCCTGAGCTGAGGTCTGCCTCAACTCCAGGTAGTGTAAGAATGGGGTTGAATCCTATGAAATCAGTGGGTATCTGCAGAGAACTGGAGAACTGCTTGATGTGGAAAACTCACACATTTGGTGTCAGAAGTCTTGCACCTAAAGGAAAATGGTTTAATACTTGAGCATTCTGCTTATGTGGGTTAAATATCCACAACTAAATTAGCATATGAAAATAGGTAATAGCTTTGAATGTCAATGTTTATAAGTGTTTTCTCTGGATTAAAATGGGAAATAGATGGATTTTCAGCTCTAAAAGAATCTCAGATAAGATCTCTTTTCTCTATGAATTGTGCAGTGCACGTGTAGTGTATGTGTAGTATTAATGAGTGTGTAGTATTAAGAGCATCATTATGTTGTCCTTTTTCGTTGCTCTGATAATGACAGTATTCCTTTGTAACAGAGACTTAAGCAGTGGCTTAAATCTTGGACTAAGTTCCTGAGGGGGTGGGTGGAATGTCCTCCTGGAAACATTTGATTATGACAGAGATGTGACTGAGAAGGGGAGAAGGCAGGGGGCCAAACTCCCAGTATTACTTTTTAGTTTCTTCATAGACGTAAAATTTGCTTGCTTTATTTGTATCTTTGTCCTAGTTCGCTGCATTTCCTCATGAGCCCCCCACCCCCACCCCGTGCTTTCTGTTTATTCCAGGTTCCACTTTGACGTCGGCCCCTTTGAAAACATGTGGCCTGGAATTTTCGTGTACATGATCCACCGATCCTGTGGGACAGCCTGGTACGTGAGACTGCCTCGATGCCTCACCGCGTTCTTGGTTGATAATTAAAACATGCCACAAATTGTTTTCTCTAAACACTTGAATTTTTAAAAAAGGCTAAGATCATTAGAGAGCCTGCAGCCTTCTTAGATCCGCTTGGTTCATGACCAGTTCTGACCAGGTGATGATGAGAATGGAGGTGTAGCTGAGATAAGTAATCGCATATTGATACTGTGGGTGTCTTGGAACAAACACATACATTGAGCATCGCCTTTCACCTTTAACTTTAATATGCCAGTTAAAGCAAGAGTGAAGGAAACAGGGCTCCTAATTCAGAGTGGTGTCCTTTGTTTGGAGTGAAGTTACATTGCCCTTTCCTTCTCCATCTCCCTTCTTTTGAGCCCTGTCCTAGAGGAACTGCATGACCTTATATTTGTCTGTTTGTTTGTTTTAATATAGCTTAAACACATAGTTAAAATGCAAGAAATAATTTTCTTTTTCTTTTTTTCACTAGTCATTGAGTGGCTTATAGAGGCTCTTAGCTTCTCTAGAGCTAAATTGTCTCCCCTTTCCCATTGAATTCTGTTTTCTCTTATTTCCATCAGCAACTTTTATAAATTATTGTTTCAAAAGAATGAGCACAAGATACCTAACTTACTTCTTAGATAGCAGTTGAGAGTTTGACCAGTTGAAACTCTCATAATGATATACCTTATACTTCAGGGACTATCTGGAAATTTTCAGTAGAGAAACATAAAGGTTATGTGTATTAATATTTAGAGGTTTTCTGAACTCTCATCTCTGGTATTTCCGGAGCCCTGGTTCATACTGATACGCTTTTGTCTTAAGCTGCCTCATATCCATTGAGAGAGCTGGTGGGGCTCTAAAGAGGTCTAAGTACATTAAAAAAAAAATTACAAAATCTATTACCACACTGTAGAATAAGAGCATGCGTCATAGTCTTTCATGTACTGTTAAGTATTTGAATGTGATCATTTGCCACTGCCAGTTAATAATTTGAGTGTGCCATGGTAATTTGGATTCCCTTTCAAAGGATAGCCACTCATCTAGAAAATTCTTATGGTGTTCATGTTTGCAGTTTGTGAATATGAATACGCTTTTTTGGAAAAAAAACTATCTCAAAACACCCTTGAGCAGGGTGACGGTATGTTGCTGTCTGTTGAGCCTGTGGGATGCAGGAGATGCTTGACTGTTCAGGAAGCGGTGATGGGAGCTGATGGTAGGGAAGGCAAGCAGGTTCTGGGGTCTGCTCGCTGGTGGGCCCGTTACAGTGTCCGAGAGGAAGCCGGTAAGGAGTCCTCCTTCCTCACCGGCTGGAGGACTGTCAGGGAGCTGGTGAACGAGGCTCTCTCAGCACCTCGGACAGCTCCCCGGCCAGGTGTGCCCCGGCACAGACCTGTGTGTCTAGACCAGCGCTGTCTCCGGGAGCGCGTTGCTTCTTTACCAGTTTCTGTCCTGACAATGTCTCTTCCACACAGCTTCGAGCTGGAGAAGCTGTGTCGTTTCATCATGTCCGTGAAGAAGAACTACCGCCGGGTCCCTTACCACAACTGGAAGCACGCGGTGACAGTGGCGCACTGCATGTACGCCATCCTGCAGAACAACCACGGGCTCTTCACTGACCTCGAGGTGCGTGCGCGCGCCCTCCCTCTGCCCCATCTTCAGATAGCCGGAGTGGATTTCAGCCCTCTGTGTCTGCCGCCCATTCGTGATATAATTAGGTGCCATGTTATTCCAGGACAAGCTTTGGTTCCGTAAATTCATGAGAAGCACAGTTGTAAATCACAACATCCAAGCATTTTTTTCCTATCGTTTTGCATAAGAAATATAGAAACGGAAATTCCAGTGTCACCAAAATGTCCCTCAACGAAGCACTGGTTTCTGTGGTCTCTCTTCCCTGGTAAAGCCAACTCTTCTGAAAGGATGTGTGCTTAGTCGCTCAGTCATGTCCGGCTCTTTGTGACCCCACGGACTGTAGCCCACCAGGCTCCTCTGTCCATGGGATTTTCCCAGGCAAGAATACTGGAGTGGGTTGCCAGTTCCTGCTCCTCTGAAAGGATGTAGATAAGGCGAATTGTTCTCCTTGCTCTCATGCCCTAGATAATGGAGACTTATCCTATCCCCCTAAGAGCCCAGAACATTAAATGCAGTTAAAACATAAACACTCATCCAACCTTCTCCCGCACAAGAGGACAGGGACATCGTGATGTTCCACTTATTTGCAGCCTCTACAGACTTGGAGCTGGTGACACACACACAGAGGACGAGGGGACCCCTTTCCATTCATGCCCTGGTTCCGCTCCCAGGCAGACCTTCCCGGTGGCCACGCTGTCCTCTCTCCATGGGCCCCAGCAGCTGCTGTGAAAGCTCCAACTCAACCCCCTTCTCTCCTCCTGCTCCAGGACACGTGACCCTGCAGAGAAAGGGAGCTGCTTGTCCCATGCTTTATTTCCTTGTTCCAGTCCTCATTCACGATAACCATACCATCGCTAGAATTTAGTGTCGAATAGATTTTTGAATGAAGAATGGAAACTGCCCTCTCCTTTTGCAGATTTGCTTTATCTGTCCTTTGGAACCCTTGCTTTCATTTGCCCCCACTCAAACACTTTGTCTCAGAGCTCAGCAGGAAACCTCAATAGTAATTTGGCTGTCAGAGTCAGCCGCAGAAAACAAAGTGGTTAAAAAGGAGGCTAGACTATCTGGCATTTCCGATGTTGGTGAGGAGGTGGGCTGCATCAGTGACAGAAGTCAGCGTGAGAGTCCCGTTGCTTTGTTTTGAACGTCTGTGTGCTGTGTTGTTTCTTAAGCGCAAAGGCCTGCTCATCGCGTGTCTGTGCCATGACCTGGACCACCGCGGCTTCAGCAACAGCTACCTGCAGAAGTTCGACCACCCGCTGGCCGCACTCTACTCCACGTCCACCATGGAGCAACACCACTTCTCCCAGACCGTGTCCATCCTGCAGGTGAGCCGCCGGGGCCCCGCCGTCTTCTGAGAGAGACTTCTGGCTTAGGTGGTGGTGGCCTTCTTTAAAAACAGCAGCCGCATTTTACCGTAGAACCATTCCTTAGAGTCATGCTCAGGATAATTCTGTCTTTTGTTTTTATTTTTAAGAAAGGCTTTTGTTTGAAGATTTATATATATATATATTTTAACCACATTCGATTTTTAAGTATCTTATACCCTGAGGCAAATGAACTGTTTCACATAGTTCATTTAATCTATGTGGATTGTCATATTCTAGAACCAGAACCTGTTGACCAATGAATCTCGAAAGTTAGGCAAATAAGATTTTAAGTGCATTGAAGTTCTTTTTTCACCTTTTGTGTGTTTTTAATTCTGTTGCTTTTAAGATGTTCCTAGTGACTGCTTTGGACGCTGACAGTTCTCACATCACAGTGAGATGCATTTGCTTCTTAAAGGTTGTCCTCAAACTCATCTTAAATAAGTAGCTATTACCTTGTAGTAGTTTGCTTTCCATCACAATTTTTAAAATATGCTCTGTGTTTGGCTTCAGAATAGCAGACCCCATTTCTTCCTCTCAGTGTTAGCACCTCGAAGGAGGAAGAGACATCTCATTAGGTCCCCTGATTACGGGTCTGATTACTGGGAGGATTCTGAATTTGCAAGAATGTGAGGCAACCCCCAGCAGGACCTCAGCAGTGACCGCTGTGGCCACCTGCGAAGCAGAGGCTGTTTGTGGCTCGGGCGGCCTTCCTCCCCGGGGCGGCCTTCCTCCCCGGCCCGCCCCCCCGACCCGGCCTTCCTCCCCAGGGCGGCCTTCCTCCCCGGGGCGGCCTTCTTCCCTGGGGCAGCCCAGCCCTCGCCCACCCGGGGCTGGTGTCCTCCCTGCAGCTCCTCCAGGAGGCTCCTCACTGTCCACGCTGGCCCCGTGCCTGGCAGTACCACACACCGGATCTTCCCAAGCCCAGCAGGCTGAACCTGTCCACGCCCCTTCTCCTCGGGGCTGCGAAGGTGAACGTGAGCTTGCTGGGGTGCAGATGCTGTTCTGACTACCTGCCAGGGAGGGGGAGAGGTCTCCCAGAGCCGGAGCCACGTCCGGCAGGGGGCCGAACGTCCCCCCGTCCTCAGGCCAGTTCTGTACCTGAAAGCAACAGGAAATTACCAATCCTGATGGTCCCTGTCCTTCCTTTTGTTAAGTGATGTGTGGATGGATGGATGGATGGTTTGGATGGATAGGTAGATAGATCCATATATACCTGGAAATTTAAGCAAGGTGAAAGATATGTGGATATGTGTGGTTGTGTATGTGTTTGCATATGTGCATATATGTGTATGTGTATGTGTTTGCATATGTGCATATATGTGTATGTGTTTGCATATGTGCATATATGTGTATGTGTTTGCATATGTGCATATAATATAGATATGTGTGTACCTATATGTGTGTGTATAATAAATGTGTGTTATACACACATATATATATTAAAACACACACATACTAAAACGAGCTTTCTGTAAACCGACATTATGAAACTTTATGACAGTTTATACCTACTTTGCCCTTACTCATCCTGTGAGACCGTTTACCTCTGCAGGAAGAAAGGCAAATGCCAGATATGACGTCAGCATGCCTTTGCTTAGAGATATTTAGGCCCCCCTCAACCCCGTGTGATTCCTGTATCCTAAGTGAATGCATGCATTCGGCTGTGATGACATCTCCGCTATTTAATCTGTCAGTGAATTTTGATAGCCTTCATAAAGTTTCTTCGGAAAGCCTTTTCTAAACATAATAGAATTAGCTTTTAAAAAGGCCAGGCTGGCCAAGTCCATTGCTGCCGGATGGACTGAAACCTGAGCTGGGTGATAACAGCAGTGATACGAGCCGGCTGGGTGGGAAGGGTCTGACCCAAGCAAAGAAGACTTCCTCTGTTTTTTGCCGCTGACGGTTAAGGCGGTATAAACGGTTTCTCATTTTCAGCAAATCCTCAGCGATGTGGGAACTGCATATTACATAATGCGGTGTTCCCAGAATGGTCAGAACACGGTCACTGAAACTCAAGGCAAAGTTCAGTCAAGCTGTTGACATCCACAGAATTGTTGGGGGGCCCTTAGATGCCAAGTGTTAGAGGAGGGGCTCGGTCACTGGTGAAGCACGTTTGTACATTTGCTCTTGTGTCTTTAGAGACGGTGCGGTCCTCGGTAGAGGACTGGCATCGCTGGCTAGAGGAACCAGGCGTGGCACAGGCTCAGCGTATCCTGGACTGACCAGCACCTCCCGCGCAGCTGTGACGGGGAAACCGGGCGGGGAGTAGACTCATGGCCCCACCCCCATGGGCAGGAGTATTTCGGAGGGTTTTCCTTCGTGTTCTGGAGACGTCTACCCTGCTGATTTTGCATGCTCCTGAGTTTTCCTTCTCAGATCCATCCAACTGCCTCTGAGAATTCCTGCCAAGAACAGACGTGCCTCCTGCCTGGCACAGGATTTAGGCCCGGGTACTGTGAGAAGGCACCAGCCCTGGCCCAGCAGCCCGCGAGGGAGGCAGGTCCCCCGCCCTCTGCCCACCCGGCGCCCTCCCAGGCTGTGGCTCTTGCCTCCCCATGTCCGCCCGGGACGCGCCAAGGATCTGCCCGCAGAGGCCGGCCCGGCGCGGCTTGTTCTGCAGCTCCCGAGGTGGCGCCTTGCTCACCCATCGCGGCTCAGTGACCCTGCCAGGGTCGCCCCCCACTCCCCGCCTCCAGTCACCACACCCCCCCGAGTGTGAGTGTGGTCAGGACGCCTTTCAGGCCAAACAGTTCAGGTGACATCTCGGGTAATGGTGAAAATGCCGCCATCTGCTCACTGAACCATCAGACGGTGCTTCGCTACGTGACACAGACCACGCTGGGAGCGCCGTCCGCCAGCGACCCCTGTAAGGAGGGGCTCTCCCGCGGCTGCCCTAGCGCTGCGCAGGCTTCTTCCCATCACCGCGCGGACCGCTGCGGTCCTGGGACGGCGCGGCCTGCGGCCACGTGGTCGGAGAGAAAGCGTTCACACTGATGGATAGGGGGAGCTGCCCACAGGCCTTCTCCAAGCCACATGTGTGCACATGTGTCTGTGTATCAGTCTTGTTCACCCCAAGGCTGACTTTTAGTGGGTTGCCGCACTTCCTTAGCAGACAATCTGGACAACGCGGGGGGGCATGGGGAAGAGGACCCCCATGTGACCACAGCAGCGCGAATGCACAGAGACTGAGCCCGCGGCCTTGACAGCTGACCTCCGTCCAACACACACACAGCGCTATTCACATGCGGGTGTCTGTCACGGTGCGGGGCCGGGTGGGTGTCTGTCGTGATATGGGGGCTGGGCGGGTGTCTGCTCACAGTACAGGGGGCCGGCGGGTATGTGTCCCGTCACCCTGGTCCGCATGTTCCTCCAGTGATGGGGATGCAGGGAAGTTCCCTCCCCGCTGGGCAACAGGAGGAGAACACGTCAGGAATAAAGGAGGAAGTCTCAGCGCATCAGGAGAGAAGACAGACTCGGGATCTCAGCAGGGCTGAGCCGCGCTGTCTCAGCCACCCCGGGCTGCCCTCCTGTGACGGGAGCCAGGGCCGTGTGCAGGCCGTCGCCGGCTGGACAGAAGCGCCCGCTGGCATCCGCGGTAGACGCCACACAGGCCCCTCTGGGCACCGCAGCCTCCTGCGTTTCCGGCAGGGACCTTCCCCGGGGATGTCCCAGAGTCTGCCTTCATTAGAGGCTGTCGGTCTGACTGCCTTTTTCCCCTGGTGACCACCGTTTCCCCAGGCTTGTGGGTCTCAGGTCTGCCTTCCACGTATATGTCTGGACGTGTTATTCTCCTGTTTCAAAAGTGAACAGTGGGTGCCACGGCGTCAAGAGTAAAGTTCCTCTCTTAACTGATTCTCAGTCCTTGATGAAGGGCCCCTGCCTGTGTCCAGGATGCTTCTGTGGCCCCAGACTCTTCCTGGCTCTCTGCCCTGTCCAGCTCCCCTTTCTTTCTGTGGCAGCATCTCCTTGTCTTCAAGGCTCAGCTCAGGCATCTCCTCCAGCGAAATTATTGTACGATGTCTCCACACAACTGGGGCGCAGGTGTGTGCCCCTTCACTCGGCCCTGAGCCCCTCAGACGCCCACAGACTTCTCACACGCTCCCGGAATCTTCTGTCTGTGAGTTTGGCGCTCCTCTCTGAATGGGAAGCCCTGTTCATCTCTGCCGCTGGAGGCGTCTGCCGCATCTGCTGACACGGGTGGTGTGGAAAACGTGAAGACTGTGGACTCGGAGTCAGAGAGGACAGAGCAGTGTGGGCACAGCTTGGAGACTGGAAGCTGCCAACTTTTATTTAAGGTGAAGCGAGTAGACGTGTGTCCTCAGGACAGAGCGTGTAGGTGGCTCAGTCGTGGAGTCAAGTGGAGTGACTTCAGGTATGGAGACTAGTCTGTGTGGGCAGTGACGAATAAGCTCTGTTCCCTTATCTAAAACATACCCGTGTATTTTAGTGTTAGAATACTAAATCCATTTTAATATTCATTTAATATTCCTTTATTTAATATCCATAATAATGTTCATTTTAATATTAAAAATGTATTTCATAAGAAGATGTTAATGATTTTCTCGAGTACTGAAGCTGCCCTTTTTCTGTCTTTTGCCTTCTGTGAATACCTCATGGTAGGTACCCAAAAGCTGACATTTTAGAAACCAGACCAATTAGGAATAATTATTCTCGTTACGAAGAAAACTGTCTCACTATTCCATTAATCTTAAATTGCCTAGTGCTTTTTAAACATGTTTAGGCTTTTAAAACGTCATCTTTATCCCAACATTTTGAGATCCTGTGATGTTTTCACGAGTTTTTCTAGCAGTAGCATTTCTCTGACACAGTCATCTGCAGTAGGGAGAATTTCCTGTTGTCAGGTGCAACTGTAGCAAAGTTATTGTACTTACGCTCAACACTGTCCCTGCTTACCAGCTAAAATGTGTTAGCATGTTACAGAGGTTAGCTGAAATCCATCCTTTTCTACAGATGTGTCCTAAATAGATAGGAAGGGTCTCTGGCCATCCCGTCTGCTTCTGGACATATAGGTTTGTTTGCTTGTTTCGCCTTCTCTCTGTCCCTGAAGTCCGCCTGCAGAAGTTACACTGCCAGATTTTGTCGTCATCACCGTCATCATAGTCACTGTTTCATCATTCTTGTGCTGTGCTCAGTCGCTCAGTCGTGTCCAATGCTTTGTGACTCCCTGGATTGTAGCCCACCAGGCTCCTCTGTCCACGGGATTCTCCAGGCAAGAAGACTGGAGTGGGTTGCCATGCCCTCCTCCAGGAGACCTTTCCAACCCAGGAGTCAAACCCAGGTCTGTCCCACACTGCAGGCAGATTCTCTACCATCTGAGCCACCAGGGAAGCCCTCATCATTTTTAGGTACTTCCGATAAACTAGAATTTTGCACTTATCAATACATTTGATTTTTGTGGAATCCGGAGACAGGTATTATCATTCATGTCCATTTTACAAACAAAAGTAATGTACATCAAAGAGGTTAAGTTACTTGTTCATTGTCACACAGCTTGTAAGGGGCAGACGGATATTAAAAACCAGAGTTGTTTGACTCCAAAATCTGTGTTCTTAATTATAGTGCTCTCATGTTTCCTAGTATACGGTTTGATGCAGCTGGCAATTAAACATAAAAATAAATATTGTATATTTTTCAAGACATCATTGTTTTGAATGCTTGATGCAACAATTAGTTGCATCATTGGCTTTTTTCCTTCCAAAGCCCCAGAATGCGTCAGCCTCTGCCTGTTGCTCCCACGATAGTGATTCATAATGGGGGTGGGGGAGAGGGCAGGACTGCTGGGGAGTGAGGCATGGACTGGTTTTCTTTAGTCAAATAAAAATGTCATTAATGTTTCAGCAAACACTTCATTTTAGCTACGTATCAAAGATTTATTTAAATTTTATTGTTTTAAAGTGAAATCATGAGTTTGAAAGGGATTTATAATCTTAGACCATTCTACAGATATCATTGTCAGAACAAGAACCAATTACAAGTAACTCCATTGTTGCGTTTATCATAGGATAATTTAAATATAAATATAATACCTTAATAATAAATAATTCAGAAAGATTCTGATAATTGAAAATAAATGGAGAACACATAGCCTTATTTCAGCATAATAGGAAGCAGATGATGTCTTACTGAGTATCTGATTTTATAAAGAAATGTAGTTTAATAATTTCAAGTTTGCAATGTATTTTATCAGTCAGTAAATATAGCTTAAGACAACTGGAAACAAAAGTCAATTTATAGTACAATTATGAAAGTGGCAATTGCTCAGTCATGTCCAACTCTTTGACCCCCCTCCATGGAATTTTCCAGGCTAGAATACTGGACGGGGTAGCTGTTCCCTTCTCCAGGGGATCTTCCCAACCCAGAGATCAAACCCAGGTCTCCCACATTGCAGGTGGATTCTTTACCAACTCAGTATTAGCTCAGTACAATTATGTTGGCTAATAAATCATTAAAAAAGAAAATTGATGAACCCAGAAGTTGAATCTCAACCTTTTTTGTTTGAACAGAAATGCCACATTTTAGTCTCAATTACAAACCAAACTTAAAATTCTGAGGGAAATTATTGGAAAAAGATTTAAGAGATTCACAGAAGAATAATTCTGAGAAAATAGAATCCAAATGACAGGTGTTTGGTCTTGTTTAGGGTGATGATCTGCTGTGTCCAAGTACCGTAAGGACAAAAAAGAGGATGGCCTTACAGTTTTTGTACCTCAGGGATGTGTGTTTTATGTAAAAGTATTCTTGCCTGTAGGGAGAGTTTTTAATATGCCTATGAATTTTCCAGTAGTGGGACATTTTCTTCTATGGTATAGAATAATCAGGTTAGTATTCACTACGTTCACAGAAATGGACAAGGGTGTAGATAATTTTTTAAGCCCATTAATTTCTACTATAATATTAAAATTACCAAAATTTTTAACTAGTTTAAAAGGAAAATTCACTTAAATATTTTACATATTCCAATTCTTTAACTACTTACTGGAAATATCCCCAAACTAGGTATATGTTTAAATTGCTGGGATTCTGTGGTGGGAAATTTTATGTGGCTTAAATAGTTCATTTACGTGGTAGCTTCATTGTTGTATCATAAGGAGAAACCAAAACACTGATTTCATTAGTGATTTCAGACTATCCTTTTGTTCCCCCCAAACGTGTCCTGAAAGCCTTAGTCGCTCAGTCGTTTCCAACTCTTTGTGACCCCATGGACTGTAGCCCACCAGGCTCCTCTGTCCGTGGAATTCTCGCAGGGAAGTTTACTGGAGTGAGTTGCAATTTCCTTCTCCAGGGGATCAAACCCGGGTCTCCTGCAATGCAGGCAGTTTCTGACTGTTGTTTCCCGTCACCAACTGTGTCGTGAAGTGGGAGTGGTGCCTCCTGTCGGCTCACGGGTGTGTGTTTGTGCTCATGGGTGTGTGTTTGTGTCTCCCCAGTTGGAAGGGCACAACATCTTCTCCACCCTGAGCTCCAGCGAATACGAGCAGGTACTTGAGATCATCCGCAAAGCCATCATCGCCACAGACCTCGCTCTGTACTTCGGGAACCGGAAGCAGCTGGAGGAGATGTACCAGACCGGATCGCTGAACCTTAATAACCAGTCACATAGGTAAAGGCATTTCTGAACGTTCAGTAGCCCAGGCAGTGGCATTTGGAATAAATGTATATTTTAAAACAAAAGCACAATTTCAAACTTACATTTGGAGAAAGAAATATAAAGAGAATTTATGTGTTTTTTTTGTTTGTTTTATGTGCGCTTTATATTTACTTTGGATATTTCATTACTTGACAAGATAGGTGACAGTGTATTGTGAAGATAACTAAAATACGAATTGGAATTTACACTGGTTGCATAGGAATGGGTACTGTCAAAGGGAAGTCATTTTGCAAGACGCCTCTCCTAGGATCTATCACAGTCCAGCATTTGGTCATTGACCTCTCAGACTCAGAAGCAAATAGAAATGGATTCATCAGAATCCGAATCTTATTCTCCAAGCCAGTGTGACTGGTGTGTAAGACTTGCATGCCGTGTTATTAATCCACAAACGTGTATTCTAGCTGCACACATCAGAATATTGGCACTCAGCGTGGTCACAGTCTTAGGAAGCTGAGTGGCCATCCAGAGTCTGTTTGAACATGGGGTCAGAACAGAGACAATGAGGATCCTTAAATGTTCCAGTGGCATCAGGCTGAGGTGGCTTGATTCCTTGTTTTCTGAGAAGGTGTGACTTGCCGGCTAGATTCAGGAATGCGTCAGGTGTTTTCCTTGTGAGCCTGTCCACCCATCTGTCCGTTAGATCTCAGCCCATTGGCTAAAACGCCTCTTGCCCCGGCCAGTGTGTGGGTGGCTACCACCAGCTTCTCTTTCTAGGACGTTGCTCTTGCAGGGTCCATATCTGACCAGGTCCATCCTAAGTGATGCATCTTTAGACCTGGGAACACTTGCTTATTGGTTCATTCTAGTCTTGCTGAACTTGAATCCACTCTTTATTCAGGCTCTTTATGTGCCCTACCCTGTGATCCATTAAGATACTGGTCCTAACGTTTCTTTCCACAGGAATCTACTTTTAGTTTTTAGAAGCAATTTGCTCAGGGGTCCCAAACACAAAACTTTATGTTTACAAATAACTACAGACACATACATAATAAACTTAATCTCCTCAAGAATATGATCATCAAACGTTTTACGGGAAACTTTGAGGAAAAGAAATGCATCTTAATTTCACAGAGTCATCTGGACACGTTGCCGGGAGCCTCCCAGGATGGCGGGAGCATCCCTGTCATGCAGACTCCCGCTCCTCTGCCTACAGCCCAAGGGGTGCAGAGCGATTTGCAGTCTTCATGTGTCTCTGCGTCTGGCAGATTTCACGTGTAGTTCTTGTGCTAAGACCTGTAGGAACAGGTGTTTGTTCACAGTGCTCTTTCTTATGGCAATTATAAGATTGGAGAAATACGCTAGACATTACGGCATCCTTCAGGTTGCTGAAAACTCTGTGTCTCCCTTGTCTTCAGGTTACAAAGAAGAGCCATGTAAGTAGGATCAAGTTTCTTGCATATGTTTTTAGCAAAATGATTATGATAGTAATAGCATTATTATAAAATAGAAAATTTTAAAAATCTCATTGCAAATGATATTATACTTGGTGCGTGATGCATATATACGTGTTAGTGGTGTATACTGTGTAGTTATGATGATTGAATAATTTGGGGGCAATTAGTAACTTTAAAGGTAATGCATATTTGCTTTAACAGTTTAAAGAGTGCAGCCATATACTAGAAAAGCAATAACAGAGCCTTCCGTCAGTATGTCGGTGGGGGAGGCCTTCGTCCCGGACCCCTGCAGATACCAGAACACTGCTGCTGCAGCCCCTCATATAGCATGGCCCCGTGGAGTTGATACTGTTACTGCCCCGTCTGCACGGCAAGGCTGAGAAGCCTGAGGGTCCCTGCTTCTGTTCTGTGCTCCAGGACTAGCAGCATGCTGGGTGTGGCATCATCCCATGCATTCCCCTGTGTTTATTCACAGCTGTGTGTTTGTGCATGAACCTATACTTTTAAACAAAAACGTGATCACAGAGCTTCCTCAGTATCTGGGGTTGGCTCATTAAACCTTCCTCCTATTAATCAAATATTTCTAGCATTTTGCACTATTATTAATTCTGTAATCAATTCTCTTATCTACTGTCCTTTAAAAATATATATCATATTGCATATGGTGTTAGAAAATTAGACACATGTTAAATTTTCTAAAAGAACTGTAGAAATTCACACCTTCTTCTAACATAAGGTAAAAACCGTCTCTCTTTAAATACGCCATTCTCTGATAGATGCCTGCATTCAAGATCTTTTCGTGTTTGTTGACTGTTGTTCCTACTTCTATTTGTTCACAATTTGTGTATTTTCTTTGTTGGATTCTTTACATTTTTTCATAAATCAGTTCACATTCTAATTTTTGTTAAGGATATTAAGATTTTCTCTGTCATATGTTACATTTTCTTTTAACTGTCTTTCAAAATTTTTATTCATATTTTAACTGCAAAGAAATCAAGTTTCATGAGTCCAAATCTGTCATTTGTTTTTATCAAATCTAGTTTCCTGTGTTGCTTACAAAGGCCTCCTCTATCCTCAAAGGAGTATAAATTATACTTAAATTTTTCTTTGCATATTTTTGTAATTAGATCTTAATGCTGCAGTCCATGGGATTGCGGAGTTGGACACGACTGAGTGACTTCACTTTCACTTTTCACTTTCATGCATTGGAGAAGGAAATGGCAACCCACTCCAGTGTTCTTGCCTGGAGAATCCCAGGGACGGCGGAGCCTGGTGGGCTGCCGTCTATGGGGTCACGCAGAGTCGGACATGACTGAAGCGACTTAGCAGCAGCAGCAGCTTCTGGAATTACATTTTTATGAACATAACTTTATTTCTTCCTGATGGGCTGAATCAATAGCATTCAATTAACAATCTGTTTTTTTCCATTGAATTGAAGTTCTCATATTGACTAGAATACTTCTTTTGACTCCTTAAGCCATTTAAATGTTAATTATCTAATTCTCAATTGTGGTCATACTATTTTGACTATTGTAACTATGTTAAAGTTTATCATACATACCTGGGAAGATAATTTTCATCTTTCATTTGCTTTCCAAAAATTTCATGGAAATTTAATACTTAATAAATGTATTTTTATATTTTTACAAGAAAAACTCCAAACTTAAGAAAGGTAGAAATTATGCTGAAATATATACTAACATCCACATTCAAGAATTATTAACATTTTAAAATATTTTTTGCCTATTTTTCACTGTGCCACTTCCGTGTAAATTATACACATGATGACCCTTTATCCTCTTCATAGTGAATTCAGTTCAGTTCAGTTCAGTCGCTCAGTCGTGTCTGACTCTATGCGACCCTGTGGTTTCATGGGGTTCTCAAGGCAGGAATACTGAAGTGGTTTGCCATTCCCTTGTCCAGTGGACCACGTTTGGTCAGAACTCTCCGCCGTGACCTGTCCGTCGTGGGTGGCCCTACACGGCATGGCTCATGGCTTCATTGAGTAAGACAAGGCTGTGGCCCATGTGGTCAGAGGGGTTAGTCTCCTGTGATTGTGGTCACTTATTGGCATGTAATATTTTTTCCCAGCCCTTCACTGTCACACTGTCTGCATCTTTGTGTTTGAAGTGTGTCTTGTCATCAGCAGTAGTTGAGACTTTCAATTGCTTCTTCCTTTAAGACTCTCAGTTCCTTGGCTTTTAAAAAAAGTTTAAAAAAATTACTGGCATGTAGTTGGTTTAAAATGTGTTAGCTTCTGCTGTACTGTTGGTGGAAATGTAAATCACTACAACCATGATAGACAGCAGTATAGAGTTTCCTTAAAATTGGAGAAGGAAATGGCAACCCACTCCAGTATTCTTGCCTGGAAGATTCCTTGAACAGAGGCGTCTGGCGGCTGCAGCCCGTGCGGTCACAGAGAGTCGGACACGACTGAACCCTCAGGCACTGCCTCGAACGTTCCTCCTGCTTTCTTAGTCTCCACTTGTAGTTCAGTCGCTAAGTCATGTCCAACCCCATGGACTGCAGCACGCCAGGCTTCCCTGTCCTTCACCATCTCCTGGAGCTTGCTCAGACTCATGAGTCGGTGATACCATCCAACCATCTCATCCTTTGTCGTCCCCTTTTCCTCCCACCTTCAGTCTTCCAAGCATCAGGGTCTTTTCCAAGTTGGCTCTTCCCATCAGGTGGCCTAAGTGTTGGAGCTTCAGCTTCAGCATCCGTCCTTCCAGTGAACGTTCAGGTTGATGTCCTCTAGGATGGACTGGTTGGATCTCTGCTGTCCCCTCAATTCAGACTGCTCTGCTCGCACCTCTCGATGGCCAGTGTTTTCCCACAGGATTCTCAGCAGCCTGCCTCCCCCAACAGTTCTTCAGTCTACCCTCCCCTGCGCACACCCGAGGGATCTCTTTAAAAGCGTGTTGTGTTGCTCTTGTACCCGCAGCTTCCAGTTGCTTGCCATCAGACTGTTCCCGTCTGTCTCCAGACTCAGCAACAAGCTGCCCACCCCCACCTCACTGCTGCGTTTCTGCCAGAATGGCTTTCCTGCTGCTCCGCAAACACTCGGCGCTTATTCCCTTGTTAGGACTTGCTCACCGTCATCGCCACTGGACTGTCTCACTCATCTGCATATGTGTGCCTCCTTCAAAGTATTTTTCTATAGACTCATTGAATGAAAATTTTCTCCTTACTTTCTACTTTCCCCCGCTAGAACATTACTCCTAAAAGTTCAGTTCAGTTCAGTCGCTCAGTCATGTCCGACTCTTTGCAACCCCATGAACCGCAGCACACCAGGCCTCCCTGTCCGTCACCAACTCCCAGAGTTTACACAAACCCATGTCCATTTAGTCAGTGATGCCATCTCATCCTCTGTCGTCCCTTTCTCCTCCTGCCCTCAGTCTTTCCCAACATCAAGGTCTTTTCAAATGAGTCAGCTCTTTGCATCAGGTGGCCAAAATATTGGAGTTTCAGCTTCAGCATCAGTCCTTCCAATGAATACCCAGAACTGATCTCCTTTAGTATGGACTGGTTGGATCTCCTTGCCGTCCAAGGGACTCTCGAGAGTCTTCTCCAACACCACAGTTCACAAGCATCAATTCTTCTGAGCAGGGCTTATTTTACTCATCTCTAGAACCATGTCTGACACATACAGGCCTTCAGAACTTTTTGGAATAAATGAATGTAGTGAACCGCCCCCCAACCCGAAGTTACCCTCCTGAGGACCATCAGCAGTACAGGCATCATGCACCGGGCTCTCACTGCAGTGTTCTCAGTGAGGAGGACAGGCAAGGTCATGCCAAGAGCAGTTGGCATAAACTCCATCGCTTTCAGAGCTGGCTATCGGAATGCAGTATGAATTAGGTCTCCATACCGCAGTCCATGGGGTCACAAAGAGTCAGACATGACTGAGCGACTGAAGTGACTGAGTCACAAGTTAGGCCTATATTCCATTCCTAGAAAGAGATGACACAATTCCAGTTCAGGTTCATATTTCCAGGAAACCATGACTATCCAACTAATTTGTCACTAACAGTTTTAAAAAAAAGTAATTTTTAAAGGCATTTAATACAGATCTTATCTTACTTATTTTTATTTGTTTGCTTAACAGTAAAATACTGATAAATTGTTTTTTTCTAAGTAATTTTGACAGTGAAATCTAAATGATAAGTAGGTTATTATCCTTTCAACCCTAATAGTAAGGATGCTGCCTATGGAGTCATATCCAGGGAGAGGATTGGTTCACACGCTTTCTAGTGCCCATTTATGTTAACATATTTTCCTTAGATTTATGAGATAAGAAATCTTTCTTGAGATAAAGCTTATTGCAATATTTATCTAAAAGAAATAAATGCTGATTCTTTTGTGTGAATGTAGATTGAATGAGACTGGATTACTTTTGTCTCAGGAAATAATTATTTGTTAACAAAATAATAGTATTTTTCATGTTCTGTTCCTGTTTACATGAATCGGCCTGTTAAGCAAACAGAAAATACAGTCGTTGCTTTAGAAGCCCAAATCCAGAAATAAATATTCTTCCTTTAAACCGCAAAGTGCTTAGGAAACTACCTCAGCAAGAAAACGTGGGCTTGCCGATCATCTTAGGGGACTTATATCTTCACATGGCATCTGTTTTGGGGTCCCAGGCGGGTACACGTTTCAAGTCCCAGGGGCGTTTTTAGAGTTATCTAGACCGCCTGTCAGACACACGATGCCCCCGTGTCCTTGTGAGACGTCGGGGTGAGGAAGAGACGACTGGCGCTGTGCGCAGTCGCACGGTCCTGCCCGACTGTCTGCGGCCCTCTGGACTGTAGCCCCTAGAGGCCCCGCTGTCCGTGGGATTCCCAGGCAAGAACACTGGAGTGGGCCGCCGTTTCCTTCCCCAGAGACCCTCCCGACCCAGGGTCGAACCCAGGTCTCTTGTGGCTCCTGCGCCCGCAGGTGGGTCCGTTCCCACTGAGCCACCTGGCTAATGGGCTGAAAGAAGGTGGCTGATGGGAAGTATTAACACAAGACCTCAGAAGTGAGCGGCACCAAAGACGTGGGTAATAGACAGAGCAGGCCCTCCCGGCCACCCAGGAATCTCTGCTCGAAGGAGCGCTGCTGCGGCCGAAGCTGCAGCCAAGCCTCTTGCGCTGCTGTGAGCCCTGGGGACAGGCCCAGGCCCCAGGCAGCCCGTGCTCGCAGGTGGGGTCTGTCTGCGCCTCTCCAGGAAGCTCGGCGTCCTGGAGCAGCAGCGGAGTCCTCAGGCTCTGGAGTTTAGGAGGGAGGGGCAATAGCGACGTCTTTCGCTTGTTACGAGGTTTTGTCTTTCTCGATAATTTGCCTTCTATCATGATGTAATTTGCTTTGTAAAAGTTTAACTCAGTATATTAAAAGCTCTCAATAGCTAGCGCTTAGCGCCACGCTTAAGTGTAGACTTCATTTAGGGTGACGCAAGTCATTAGCAGAGAAGGCAATGGCACCCCAGTCCAGTACTCTTGCCTGGAAAATCCCACGGACGGAGGAGCCTGCTGCCGTCTATGGGGTCACACAGAGTCGGACACAGCTGAAGCAACTTAGCAGCAGCAGCATGTCATTAGACCAAATCCATTAAAATTATGTAGGGGATGTGTCTGTTTGAATACTTATAGGCAATTTTTACTTGTCCTCTAAAGAAAAGACTGAATAAACCATATTTAGGGGAAAAAAAAATAAGACCTAGGACATATAGTGGTGAGTGCAAAGCAACTGAGAAAAAAAATCCTCCTTTCCGTGGAGATGTTAGAGTTTGTGCAGCGGTCAGCGACCCTGCCCTTCTCTGCGGGTGAGGCGGCGAGAGAGCTGTCTGGAAATCTGAGTCTTCTGGCCGGCCAGTCCTGGACTATTCACACCTCGAGGACTCATTTCACTCATTTGTGTCTCACATTCTCCTTCTATAAAGTGAAAGGATTGGCTAGTTCCCCCCGCCCCCACCCCGCCCAAGGTTTCTTTCCACTCTAAAGTTTCACAATTCCATGAAGTTCAAAATCTGGTTCGTGGCAGTCAGGGCCAGCAGGGGTTTAGAAGGTGTCGGGGCCAGGCCGGCGTGACGTCGTGTTGCCGCAGGAAGCCGCAGGAAGCAGGAGCAGGGACCGCAGTCTTCCTGGAACTAGGAGGGCAGTGACAGTGTTCTCACGGTTAAAGCGACACCGCCCCTTAATTGTGTCCTTTCTCTCCTTTCAGTTGCATCTGCTCTGAAATGCTATCTTTCCTCCCCGCTACATGCAGCAGCGCCAGCCTGAAGCCGCGCTCGGCCCTGAAACTTCCTAGCTGTCCTCATGCCCGTGCAAACGCCACGGTGACCAGTCTTGTCTCATTGTGTTCTAGAGACCGTGTCATCGGTTTGATGATGACCGCCTGTGATCTTTGTTCTGTGACAAAGCTGTGGCCAGTGACGAGACTGACGGCCAACGACATATATGCAGAATTCTGGGCGGAGGTACGTCCTGGGGTTTCGTATGAGCGCAGATGATGGCAAGAAATGAGGAAAAATTGAGGGGATGTTAAATACAAGGATGATGTAGTAACAGTATCTTACTGCTCATGTTGCTAGTAGTTCCTTAAAAAGCACTATAGTTTAGCATTCATACAGGTATCAAGTCAGAGTGTCCGACTTGGACATGTGTGTAAATTCCCTGATCTCCACTGAAACAGTTCAGGAACCAATTCCCTGAACAGCCTTGCAGCAATTTTCTTTATTTAATAGCCGATCTTTTGTCATACATTCAATAAATATCAATGATCGTCCCTTTTATGGCCACGAGAGAAAGTATTAAGAGGGACCCACAACATCACAGGCTGTGATTTTGCCTGCAGCTGAAAATTTGAGAGACTAATGATGTACCATAGAAACCTGAGATTAAATTGTGAATATGCCAAACAGTCAGTTAAGCTGCAAATTATGAGCTCCACAGGAATTAATTCATGATTTCATGAATTCCCGACATATGAAACAACCATGTAAATTACTTTCATGAGTACCTTTTCTTGACTGAATTATCTAAATTATCAGAAATGTGCATTTGCTCCTCAATTTGGTCTCTTAGTTGGTCATGAATAAGTAGAATATAATTCTCTTGTTCAAATGAATCCACAGATACTTAGATCCCTGAATATTAAGAATAAGTTTATAAAAAAAAAACTATAAAATGTTTGTGCACCTCATTTGGGTAGAAGTCAAAGTAAATTTGGAGCACAAAGGGTTTGGTAGTACCATAAATATCATACCTTAAATCTCAGCCAAATAGAAGAATGGATATAAAAAGTAAAAAAAAAAAAACCAGTAAACCGTTCAGGTTAATGATTAATAGAAATGGTCTATGATGTTGGTTTTGTCTCAATAGTAACACCAAAGAAGTTTGTATTGGGTGAGGACCACAGGCCTTGGGTTGATTATACTCAAGATATCATTTCTATACAAGCTTCCCCGGTATACCCCATTCCCTTCCAATGTGTAGCTCAGTTGTACACATTGTATATGCATCCTCTTGAACATTTTTTTGTTTTTTTCTTTGTTTTATTGTGTGTGTGTCAAAATCTAGTTACTCTCAGACTCAAGAAGATTGTTTTTAAATGTACATGTCTGAGCTGTAATATTTGACTTTACTATCACAGCCAGCTAGGATATAAAAAAAAAAAACAACCAGTAAACCGTTCAGGTTAATGATTAATAGAAATGGTCTATGATGTTGGTTTTGTTTCAGTAGTAACACCAAAGAAGTTTGTATTGGGTGAGGACCACAGGCCTTAGGTCGATTATGCTAAAGATATCATTTCTATACAAGCTTCCCCGGTATACCCCATTCCCTTCCAATGTGTAGCTCAGTTGTACACATTGTATATGCATCCTCTTGAACACTTTTTGTTTTTTTCTTTATTTTATTGTGTGTGTGTCAAAATCTAGTTACTCTCAGACTCAAGAAGATTGTTTTTAAATGTACATGTCTGAGCTGTAATATTTGACTTTACTATCACAGCCAGCTTAATTTGCATGTATGTCTAAACTAGTAACATAGTTAATGCTATAAATACCACGTAAGAAAGCCTGTCTGAAGCTTGCTTACTGTTTTGCAGACACTTTTATTTGTTTAGCAGTGATATACTTCATACCTTAACAACTGTATTTGTATTCTAAAACGTGAAGCAAAAGGGGGCAAACGTGTAGATTTTTTTCCCTTTCTGTTCCTCGTTGGTTAAGCGGTGCAGTGGTTAAGTGCGGCATTGGTTAAACGGTCCACAGAGATTGACTGAGCTCCCAGTGGGCTCACAGATGCCATCTGCAAGGCCCTCACCGTCCCAGAGAGGAAGCAGAGCTGTAGTCCCCAAGTCTTGCCGTGGCTTCATAGATGTTCATGAAGTCTACGCTGCCCTCCTCCCCACCCCATCCTCTCCGCTCCTTCAGACCCTCACAAGCTCCTGCCTGGATTCCTGCAGCATGTAGCTGGACTCCTTGCCTGTCTTCTGGAATCAGTGTGACAGAAGCTAAGGGTGTGGGGCCTTTGGTGTCACGCTGTCCGAGATGAACATCCCACCTTAGCCCTGAGACCGGCACCTCGGGCCAGCTTTCTGACCCGTCTCATCCTCAGCTGCTGCACTCGCTGCTTCGGGGCAAGTTGAGTTCTGCTTCCCTCCAGCCGCCTGTCTCTCCTCGCTGGGGTGAAGACAGAAACCGCGAGCTTGATGCGTCAGGCCCTCGGCCCCTCTGCCGCTGGCTCCCTGACTGTGCTGTGCAGTTTCATCCGCCTGGAGCCCCCCACCCTGCACCTCGCAGCCCTCCGCCCGCAGCCCCGACTCCCCAGACCACGTGCACACACGAGCCATCTGCCGCTCGGGTGTTCTCCTGTCGGCATCAACGCTCGTTTCTAGGTGCCCGTTCGAATCACTGCTTATTTAAAATCTTTGTGTGTATTGGGGCTTGTGAAATCCTTGAGGGGGCCTGGTATCTTCATTCACCTAGGGCAGAAAAGAAGAAAGTGTGAGAACTACCGCGGTTCATTTCATTTAAACCAGTAACTTCAGAGCAGACTGCTTCCAGCACCTTTATGTAGCTAAGACAGTGTTTTAGCCCTGTGCTCACGCATCCTTCACAAGGGTTATATTTGTCCCATGACCCTATCTTAGCAAATTCAGGATGCTTTCTGCTTCAGATTTCTGAAAACAAGCATAATAAAATTATCAAAAATAATAATAATTAAGAAATGGGAAGGAATTAGTCATCTTTAACCTTGAAAAATAAGTAAAAGGAGTAAGATAATTTTTAAATCTGTAAAATGGGGATAATAATATCTAACTCACAGTATTTCATGAAGAGTAAGTGACATAATATTTACAGTGGCCTGGTCCAGAGGCTCTGATATTATACATCTTTGGTAAACATGTATAATTTTAGTCTTTATGCTTATCTCTAGCAGTTATATTGTGTCTTGACTGACATGTTTTAGCAGACTGCTTTTTATTCTTGATGTGTCAATATTCCTCTTTAAATTCTAGCTTCATCTGTCTCGGTGTGTATGAAAAATCATCTGAAAAAGTGAGATAAAGGCCGTGAGCTTATTTCACTTTCGTTCTTGTGTTCCTCCTCACACACACGTGTCCTTCCGTTATCACTTTCACTAACTTCTACAAAATGAAACGAAAGAGATGGCTAGGTTTCTGGAAATTTAGGACAGGAGAGGAACATGAGGATAAAAACCTACAACAGGACATTACATTTTTATTATTCTGACATCTGTGTGGGTTGTTAGCCAGAAATATCATTCATTCTGAAGAAAATGAATGCATAAAGGGCACACCACATTCATGCCGACATTTTACAGCGGTGCCTGAAACTGAGAGAGCCTGGTTTCCCCCCTGTTCCCCCCAGGGCGATGAAATGAAGAAGCTGGGGATACAGCCCATTCCCATGATGGACAGAGACAAGAAGGACGAGGTCCCACAAGGCCAGGTATGGGCCGTGTGGTCAAGCGGTCGTTCACGGTGGCGGTGAGAGCGGCTGGGAGTAGGAAGCACAGACCATCTGACGGGAGCTGGGACCTGCTGAAGTCTTCTCTGTTTCGATGCCCCTTGATTGGGAAATCCTAGCCAGCCTTAAAGACTTCATAACTAGCCGTGTCATCACCTCTTTCTACAGATAAAATTGCAGTGAATCACAGGCTTTCTTTTATTACTTGAAATAGAGGGTATGGATGAAGTTGAAGTGTTAATTATTTTTAGCAAGCAAAAAAATATTTTGTCATCAAATGTACAAAGATATTTTTTGGAGAATAACATAGATTTTGGTTAGGTTCGCGTTTCCTAACAAACAATGCATGCTGTTTTACTACATTTTGAGTTTTGTCTTAGCGTAAACTGGCACTCATTATTCCCTTTGCAGGTCTTACAGCATATTTTGCGTTAATTTTTGATGCTTTGAGAGCCCTAGTACCTCCTCAGTTTTGCACGAATGCGTGTGTGGTGTGGTCTATTCCTTTGATGGCGGTCTTTTTAGAGCGTCAGTCTTCTCACTTCACGATAAGGATTGAGTCCGCCTCTTGGCGGGCACCAGCCCAGCAGGGACCGTGCGATTTTCTCACCTTTGTCCCTAAGGGACCGTCTTCTCGAACCCGCAGCCAGCTCCCCAGCCAGCTCCCCAGCCTGCTCCCCAGCCTGCTCCCCAGCCAGCTCCCCAGCCAGCTCCCCCGTAGGAGGCTCGCTTCCCTCCCTGTCTGACTTGCCCTGACACGCATGCCATGCATGTTGCCTGTGTATTTTGCAGTTTAGTTATGTTTTGACATTGTTTGGGGATCCTTTCCATATTTGTAATCACAGTGTTTTACTTTTCATGTCACATTGGAAGCGTCCCGTCCCACGCTGAGAGAATATATTTACCTACATTTTCTTCAGCTTCTTTTTCATTTCATCATTTTATATTTGATGTGTTCAATTTTGGGAATTCATCTTGTAATGTAGTTAAGGAAGCTGACAGTATTAGCTTTTCCTTGTAGGCAGTTGAGCAGTGATCCCAATGGGAATCTTGATAAGAGAACTGAAAATGTCATCAGAAAGTGGACTTTGTTCTCTCACGATTCCATTAAGAGCAGTATGTTTCTTTTTTGCCAAAATTCCAGATCTGTTTATAGTATTAGTGAATTTTAAATAAGCGATTTCTGCAATCAGCTAGTATTTTACCAAATATATTGCTTCTGATTTGTGATTATTGTGAAATTATACTTTGCCATATAATAAAAGACTCCTAAGAATGGGTCATGAACTACAACTGATCTATAATAAGAATCCCACTGAATACTGTACTTGGGTTTTAGAGTAACTTCTTTTTATGATTTAAATTTTTTTATGTTTTAGATCGTGAGTGTATTTTAATGAATTTTAAACAGTAATCTGCAGGAGTGTTCACTGAGGCAGATGTTGCTTAGCAAAACCAGAGTGCTTAGATGTCCAGGTAGGCTTGAGAAGTAGAAAACTGACTTGATGAACCCAGTGCTACTAGAATTGCTAACGTGCGGTCATGTTTCTTGTCTGCGTTTCTGTGCTGGGCCAGCTGGGGTTCTACAATGCCGTGGCCATTCCCTGCTACACCACCCTCACCCAGATCTTCCCCGCCACGGAGCCACTCCTGAAGGCGTGCAGGTATGTACAGCCGCTTCACCTTGCTGCGTTTCCTTCAAAAATAACAATCTGCGCAGCAGTTTTTTGCTCCATCTAGGCATAGATGTCTTCACTGCAGTTTACAGTAACGGGGCTGTGTGTTTGCCTATGTAACAAGTGTAAGTCAAGAGTATTTATTCACAAAGTTGTTCATTCACCAAAAAGGAGCAGGATGTGTTGTTTTTATGACTCACAGACCCCTGGCTGATGCTGTTCTTATAAAGACAACAATATCGTTTCTAGGCTGCTGGTTTGGAAAGGGACTCGGTTTAAATCACACAGTTTACTGTCTGAAGGGTAGAGACGGAATCTTGAATGCGATCTTCTTTAAGTTTCATTTTCTTCCCGAAAGACAGGCAGGCCTCCAGCTGACCTATTCTAGTTCAGATTTCTCTGGGTGCTCTCATTATCTTTTTTAAGGGCTAAACTCAGCTCAGAACATTGGAAATTTTCTAAGATTTCATTTTACTTGGAAAGGAAATCCTCCGTGGGGAGGGTGAAAGGCAATGAGCAGACAGCC